TATTGGACTGATTTCATAGTCATGAACCTCAAGGAAGCATCTCCGGCTACCTTCATCAATTGCAGCGGTGGCCTCCATCTCCGGTGAGTTTCATCACTTACAGCGACGGCCTCCTATCTAGCCACCGTAACCACTTGAAGCGGCGGCCTCGTTCAGCGGCAGCCTCTGGTGAAGCTTCAGATCTGGAACGAATATTTTTGAGGTGAAATCGTTGCTCAGCCTAGTCTCTATTTCGCCCGTCGGAAGAAGAATTCAGGAGGAGCAGAGATGCGAAGGCATATCGAATTTCTATTCAGAAGAGATAAGACATCAGATGCAAAGAGAAGAAGATAGCCAACGATAGCTGCTACAATTAAATCAAGGGCAAAAGTGGCATTATGTTAAATTATAGTTCTATTTAGGTTTAAAAAGTAGGCACTCCTATTCAGGTATATAGGATAAGTTACGATCTTATTTATGACCATTTCCCTTTATTTTGTTTAAACCAAAAGTGCCCCCATCTCTTTTTCCTTCACATTTGATCCTGCGTCGTATTTACCATGTCCTTCCATAGACACATCTCAGCTAGAGAAGAGCTTGCACACAATGGCAGAAGTACATAGGGGCATGGGGGTGCGTCAGCCTCTGTAGTTTATTTATTTATTTATTTATTTATGTAATATATATATATATATATATATATATATATATATATATATATATATATATATATATATATACTCCGTATAATAAATTTAATTAACCACAACCCCTACAGCCCATCTAATTAAGCCCATCAGCCCTCAATCCTTCACAGCGGCCCAAAGCATAAGCCCTCAGCTCCAATAGCCCTCTGCTATTCGCCTCTTCCGCTTGAACGCCAAAACAAGGCGGAACTCTACGCCAAAAGTCCCAAAACCATAGCAGAAGTGCAGAACTCTACGCTAAAACGCAGGCACAGTCGAACAACTCATAAATTTTAGAACTTAATTTTATCCTCCAATAAATTGCACAGTCGAACAACTCATAAATTTTAGAACTTAATTTTATCCTCCAATAAATTGATTTATAATTTCCTCTACCATTTTTCAAAGGCCAACCAACACCTTTCCTTGCTCAGAACTCTTTCCCATTTGAAAAAGGCTTTTTCAATCAAACTTTGGTGAAAGTGGAAAATTGAGAATACCATATGGAATATGTTTATTAATGCTAGGTACCCTAGAGGGCTTAATACGATACCCAAAATTACTGATTCTCTTATTTGGAGAAGAATATGCTTTATTCATCCTTTAGCTTCTCACTATGGTATCACTCATCGGGAGGGTGGTTTGATTTGGCAGTCTGAAGATGATAATTTATTCTCATTTAAATCTGCTTAATGATGTTGTATGAGATGGTATGCCAATTGTGTTCTCTTTTAAACATGCTTGGTATCCAAAACAATATTTGAAAATCAAGGTGTTTCAATGGAAAGTCGCATTCTACCAGTAACTGATGGACTTAAACGCTTTCAACAGATTTTAAATCCCTCTGTATGCCCCTTATGCATAAAGCAAGAGGACTCAATTGATCACTTACCGTTTAGGTGTGAGGTGGTGAATCCTATTTGGGCCTATTTCATGGGTATTCTGGGGATACCTAGGGTGAATGCTGGTAGTTTTATTCGTCACGTGTACATGAGTTGATGGCTTAAAGCTGGGATCAAGACTGTTATTGATCTCTTAAACATAACTTACCTGGTATTATCAGTTGGTTTGTTTGGAAAAATTATACAAAAATCATTTGGGGTAATCAGGTAACTAGACCTTCTTCAGACACTATTATTTCCAAATAAAGACTTTTACTCAAGCTTGGGCGTCAAGTTTTTCGAGACTAAAGGTTCGATCAGTGGGTGAGGTTCTATTTGAGGAAAAGTTGATTCCTAAGAATTTCAAACTCACATGTTCACAAATTAAAGCCATTAGATGGAGCGAGCCACAAAGTTATCTCAAATTGAATGTGGATGCAAGTTATTTACCTGGTAAGGCAGGAGGAGGAGCGACTTTGAGGAATCAGGAGGGTGAATGGGTTGCAGCTATATCATTTCCGATTGTTGCTTCTTTGAGTTTAGAAACGGAGATCTTTTCTGTTGTCTTGGCTTTTCCGATTTTGAGGTTGAGACTTATGTGGCGATTGTGATCTCTTTGTTGGATCAAGTTAGAGACGGGAGATGGAGACGATTAATTCAGGAAATGAAGCCGTGCGAAAAAAAGGAAAGGGGTGTGATTTGGACATATCTGGCATGATGCATGCAACTGGGTTGCTCATCATTTGGCTATATCATCTTCAGCCCAAACCAGTATTTTAAGCATCCTAAGGAACTTCCTATTCAGGCTCGTCAAGCCTATTATAGAGATTTATTTGGGTTTCCTTCATTTAGATGCTTTTATTAATTATTTTTTGGGGGTGTGCCTCTCAGGAAATGTTTTGGCCTAGTCCCCATCTTCCTTGTACCTTTTCTTATTTTTATAATATCCGGTAAAAATTCTTCGACGTTTATCTCACTGATTTTGATGGTTGGCCTACCGGATAAAAAAAAGGAGAAACAATTATCTGATATCAAATTTTCACATTGAGAAGATTGTGATTGAGTCTTAGGGATGAACAAAAAAATGAAAAATCGAAACCCACCGAAACCAAATTGATAAAACCAACTAAATATGACCGAAATAAAAACCGACAAAGTCGATTGGTGAACCGAATTGACATATCTTTAAATGGTTCGGTCGTCGGTTTTAGATATTATGCATCGGCCATAAACCGATCGACCGAGGAAGTAAGACCATCAACTATGGAAGGTCAAGTTAGATATAAATAAAAAGTGATGGGGGTTGACCCCACTATGGAAGATCACAAAGTGACCGATTAACTTTGTCGATTGAAAATGGGATCTGCCATTTTTTTTATCTAGCCATTTAATGAACGAAAAGGAGCAAATAAGCTCATGTACTAACAAAAAAGGTCAAATAAGTCCTTATATAGGAGGCTCTGTCTGGCCGTCGCCATTTGGGGCAAATCCTGGTTGAATTTTTTGATGACATTTTTTGAGAATCCCTATTCATTAAATCTAGTTACTCATACCAAATTACAGCTAACAATTCAATTGGGAAGACATTCAAATAAATTCTTGAAGATAACTACGCTTTTAACTGCGCAGTTATCGTCAAGAATACATTTGAATGCCTTCCCGATTGAAGTTTTAGCTAAAATTTGGTATGGGTAAACTAGACGTAATGAATAATACGCTAAAAAATTGCATCAAAAATTTCCACCGGGAACCGTCCCAAATGACGACGATCGGACATAGCCTCCTATATAAAGGTTTATTTGACCTTTTTTGGTTAATACCGAGCTTATTTGCCTCTTTTCCTTTAATGAATGTCAAGTGACATAGCCTTTAAAGTAAAACTGTCGGCCAAAGTTAGGAAAAATCTTCTCTAATTTTGTAGCCACCAACTACTTTATTTAATTGTTAGGTAATAAATTTAATTTTTTGTTAAAAACATTATGCCCAAAAAATCAATTTTTCCTCCTATAAATAGTTCCAAATATTGGATATGTTTAGTCCTTTTGAATTCTATCACTTTTTTCCATCTTACATCTTATTTTATGTGTTTTAGAATATCTCCTTTGAAAATGGATCCAACCCTAGATACTTTATCACCTAGATAAAGTACTTTGAAAATGCATCTTATTCTATCATTCTCCACCTAGATACTTTATCACCAACCCTCATTCCAAAGAATTCCTCTTTCTGCATAACAATCTTTCATAAGAAATTTTCAAAGTGATTCTAATCATCCGAATTGGATGATGTCGTTAACTTTTTTTAACGATTAGATTAAATTGTTACCGAGTATAAAATAATTACATATAAAACCATGATTTAAATGATTTCCAAAGATAAACCATGATTTCTACGTAAGTGATTTCGTTTACTAATATACCAATAACATTACAACCATCATTTAGAGATTGTATGTTCTTCCACTGTGATTCGACCAGCCACTTTCCATATGTGGGTTTTGAGTCAGAACTTTAAACAACTTAAATATGTTTAAAGATTCCTGGTATTTTTTTTATGTTTCATGCTTTTAGTGCTCGAGTGCTTCAAACATTCAAGAATATTACCTTAAAGTATATGACCTTCTTGCCTCCAAAGTGTTCAACAAAATTCGCATAAGAAATCAAAGAACTTAGTATTCTTGCTAATTAACTTAATCTTACATTTTTTATTCTCTTAATTCTTCAACATTATTGTTGTTCATTTTTTTATTGGAAAACTTTGGATAAAATGACAGAATATATTACATGAATCTGCTAAAGAATTTATTTTTGGGGGTTAGTTTATCTTATTGAAACTTTTAAAATCTCTAATGATTTGGTGTCAGGAATTTTAACTTTTCACTTTCGAAGTATTTGTTGTTTTGCTGGAGTTATTATACATGTAGAGGCTGTTTGACAACCCTCATTTTCAGCTTATCAGGTTTATCAGTCAACTTTTTTATCAAACACATAAATTTTGTTTTCGCGCGCTGAATTATGTAATAAGCCGAAAAAGTAAGGTTGAAGTTACTTTTCTGGCTGTATTGACTGAAATTACTGTAGATGACCATTTTAGCTATTTTTACATATAAGTTTTTCTTTATTTTATTAATAAAATATATTTTAAAAATATTTTTTTCTTGTATCAGCCGAATCAGCCAATACACTTACTTCATCCAGAACTTCATAAATTTCAGCAAAATAAGCCAAAACAACCGATTTTCGTGCTGACAAACGGGCTCTTAATATGTGTATAATTCCTCCCACTCGCCGTTTAAAAGATAAAGTAACGTGCTTCTTCTGCACCTGGTAATATCGCTATGGGTAACTTGGCAAAATATGTCCCTTTCATCATAGGCAAACTGGCAAAATTTATAATCATCATAGTACCTACTACTCCATTCATTGAAGGTATGTTCCACCGTAATGACCAGTTTGGGATATCAGGCTTTCCAATAGCACTTTTCCAGGAAGAGAGTAATTATATATACCGAAAGGCTAGTGGTTCACATTGATACTTCATTTTTATACATATGTGAGGTCATCGTTATAAGGGGCATCATCATCATCATTTACCCGACTCTCACCTAAGATGGGGTAAAGGGTGAGAGGTACGCAGTCTTATCCCTGTCCTAAAGCACAAAGAGATTGTTTTCGGATAACTCATAGTGAAAATCCCGTCCAAAATTGCATGAACCGACTGTTGCTTCATAACAAAGAAGTGCAAATATTCTCAAACCAAAAAATAGTGAATTTTTGACTCCTGAAGCATACTGTTGCTTCAGAACAGAGAAACGTAAATATTCTCAAACAAAAAAATAGTGAATTTTTGACTACTCAAACATAGATACGTCGTTGTAGGTATACATAGCTTTTTTCAATTTAGTAATGCAAATAAATCTGCAATACTCTGTGAATAACAATTATTTGTATGGATATTAACTAGTGATTTCACTTTTTAGGTGTGAAGATGAATTAGCTGACCATTACGACCAGCCTGCTTCCACCAATTGCTGCTGCCGCCGCTGCCGTAAAAAATCTATCGTTGTCATATTTCTGCCGCCAGCCGCCAGCCGCCAGCCGGTGTCGTAAAAAATCAGTCGCTGCCATGTTGACGTCGGTCGATGCTGCCACCGCCTGAATCTGCAATTGCAGGTTTGCCACCACCACTGATTTGCTCAACCATATATACACTGGCCTTGGTTATGCTTAGGGGAAAATTAATTATATTAATTAGTTATATTAAGTGTAAAAAGGTAACGTTTAATCTTACTCCGTATTTAGGTAAAAAAAATTGACTCCTATTTGTGGAATTATGTTAAGGGCTAATCCTTTTTAGGGTAATTTCTCTTCGATAAGATTCATAAGGTGCTTGAAAACACAAAGTATAGAATACAATTCTTAAATCCTAATTCTATTGGGCACCAACCCTCACACGTACTTCATCAAGCTAACGCAGCGTCCTAGCTGATAAAACTACTTGAATACCCTCATAACAATAAGTTATTTACAGAAAAAGATTGTTATAACAAAAAAGAAGATTGTTGACAAAAGAATAATAGCTACTCCATCAGAAATTTAATTTATAAAGTAAAAGATTAAAAATGATTTTGACCATTAGAATAGTGGACGGGAACCTTCTAATGGGACGGAGGGAGTAATTTTTTTATACACATGCAAGTCTCCAAATTCTCTTTATGTGTGTGTGTGTTTCTCTGTTTGAAAGAGAGACTGATAGAGAGAACACTTCTCTACATTCTTCTCATTCCACCACCCAGCTTCATTTCTCATGTGCACTCATTCTCTCTTTATGAGTTTCAAATTCATGGACCATCTAACAAATTACCGCACTTCTCCGTGAGTACCTTTGCAGTAAGGCAGTAACTCCTTAGTCTGTTCCAGGATCATACATTTTCGCGGCATCAGTGATTGCAGTGGGGCCATGAAGCATGCCTCTTACTTGTTTGAAAAAATTCCTGAACCAAACGTAGCTGTTTGGAATACGATGATCAAGAGTTTTTCAGAAGCAGGGAGTCCTAGAAACGCGGTTTCTTTGTATTTGGAGATGTTGAGGAACAATGTGAAGCCGGATAACTACACGTACCCCTTCTTGCTTAAGGGGTTTACACGTAAAATTCCAATGACATTGGGAAAAGGATTGCATTCTCACGTGTGTAAATTTGGGTTCAACTCCAATGAATTTGTCAATCATTCTTTGATACACATTTATTTCATGTGGGGGAATGTTCATATGGCTCGCAGCTTATTTGATCAGGGTGCTAACACCAATGTGATGATTTGGAATGTCATGATCTCTGGGCTCAATAAATACAAAATGTTTAAGGAATCAAGGAGACTCTTTTATGAAATGGATGAGAAAGGAATAATGCCCACTGCAGTTACTTTGGTTTCATCACTATCTGCTTTTTCCGAGCTGAACGATTTAGACTCTGGAAAACGTGTACACCAGTATGTAAAAGACCGTAAGGTTGAATCTAATTTAATTCTTGATAATGCTTTGATGAATATGTATGCATGTTGTGGAGAGACAGATTCTGCTATCAAGATATTTCTCACAATGGAGCAAAGAGATGTTATATCATGGACCACAATTGTCACAGGTTTCATCAGTTCTGGAGATATGAATTTAGCAAGAATGTATTTTGACAAGATGCCAGAGAGGGACTCTGTTTCATGGACAGCAATGATCGACGGGTACATCAAAGAAAACCGATTTAAGGATGTTTTGGTCCTTTTACGTGGAATGCAAGCAGAAAATTTGAAACCTGACGAGTTCACCATGGTTAGCGTTATCACCGCATGCTCGCATCTCGGGGCACTTGAGCTTGGAGAATGGGTCAGGGACCACGTCGACAAGAACACGATAAAATTTGATCTTCATATTGGGAACGCTTTGATAGATATGTATTTCAAATGTGGTGATGTGGAAAAAGGAGTTGATATGTTTAATAATTTATCCAGAAGGGACAAGTTCACTTGGACGGCCATGATTGTCGGCCTTGCTGTCAACGGACATGGACTAGAAGCTCTAGACATCTTCTCCCAAATGCTGAAATCGTCAGAAAAACCTGATGATGTCACCTTCGTCGGCGTTCTTTCCGCTTGCGCTCATACCGGCATGGTGGAGGAAGGAAGGAAATTCTTCAACAAAATGAAATCACTTTTTGGAATTGAGCCTAATGTCACACACTATGGCTGCTTGGTTGATCTTCTCGGACGAGCCGGGCAGTTGACTGAAGCTCTTAAGGTTATAAAGCGCATGCCTTTGAATCCAAATCCAGTAGTATGGGGAGCTCTCCTTGCTGCTTGCAGGTAGGGCTGTGATGAGCCTGATGAAATTGAAAAATCATACTACAATATTAGCATGCTCCTACTTGTTATTCAAATATCAGTTACTATTTGGAAATATGTATTGCGGAGTACCATATATACTAAAGCTTTGACATTATTTCAAACATGAGATAATTCTATGATAAAAAAAGAAAAGATATTGAAATAAGTTACAATGCAGAACTACTCATAGTTTTATATTTTACAAGCTAGCTCACAAGCTAACAAACCAAACACAATCAAACATGAGTTTGGTTTGTTTATTTTGAAGAGCTCTTTTAATTGAATTGATAACCGAATGGATTACTAGAAGCTTGGTTTATTTGTAGCTCTAGTTAGTGCACCCGGAATGAAGAAATTAAGTAAGAACTTTTAGATAAGTTATATGACAAATTAGTTGAAAGAAAGATTTGATGAACTAGGATAAAAATAGGGAGTACTAAAAAATGCTTATCAATACTACTACATCTGATTTTTGAAGAAAATAAAAGAATATGGATCACACAAGAATAGTTTACAAACAGTTAGGTTCTTTTAGATCGATCGTTAGCTACTTGCAGGGTTCACAAGGATGCAGAAATGGCAGAAATGGCAGCTGGGCAACTACTTGAGATAGGAGCAGAAAAAGGGTCTGTATATGTTCTGCTGTGCGATGTATACACAGCCTGTGAGAAATGGGAAAGTCTACACTGGCTAAGAAGAAGAATGAGGGACGAGGGAATCACGAAAACACCTGGGTGTAGTAGCCTGGTGCGTGGCTGATTGAGGCATGCGGGTTTCATCATTCATACATACATGAGTTTTGTGGTGCGCACGCACCCTCAGTCCGGTTCGGAGATGGATGACTTGAACAAGCTTGCACATCAAGTCTTCTGGCTTGGTCTGGCATGTGGCCTGAGAGGCTGAGATTGGAATCAATTCAACGACTTGGGGTTTCATCTAAAAGGTTAACATGTGAGGAGGAACAAATCATAACTTTATATTTTAATTTGATATCCTTCATACTTTTTGTGTTGGATATATACTTGAACAAACCACACCATGTAAGCTAAAGAGTGTATAATCAATCATGATAATGAAAATGCTTCATGTTATTGCAGTTGTCTATTAACAGTTTTCTTTTGTCTACGAGCTTGTCTGCTTCTTGAAGTGTTTTATTTGGTGGATGATTGAGCTAGGTTTTCAGTTATAAACATAACACCCAAAAGTTCCACCAAGAATACTTATAAATTTGGTGTTTTCTGTTATAACCATATAACAACGAGATTCCCGCTAGAAAGAATTATGAGGTTTATCTAAAACATACGGAGTAGCATGTTTTGTCAAAGAAGTTAACTGATAAGAGCATTCCCAATTGGAAAGTTTATTTTAGGTCTACCTTATTTATTATATCTGTATATGAGACATTCATAGAAAAGACTAATATATTGATTTAATAGAGAAATGTTATGAAATATCAGTTGAAGTGGTGTGACATAGAGATAAAATTCTAGATTGAGAATTGTGAGCAATAGACCTTTTTTTGGGAACAATATGTGAGGAAATAATGGCTTACCCTATTGGGAGCCCTAGCATCCTATTTATATTAAATAAATAAGAGTATTTACATACAAGGTCCTATAATATTCTATTACACCCCCTCAATCTGTGCAGGGGAAATCACGTGCAGATTGGAACGTAAAAATTCAAAACGTTGACTACTTAAGTTCTTAGTAAAAATATCGGCCAGTTGATATTGAGTAGGAATGTACTTGTCCGCTAGATCGCCATGTGCAACACGTTCTCGAACAAAATGGTAATCGATCTTGATATGTTTGTTGCGGTCATGCTGAATATTGTTGACAGCAAGATAGGAAGCAGAAACATTATCACAAAAAAATTGAACAGGTGTAGAGATGTAAATGCCCATGTCCGCAAGTAGAGAGCGTATGAAAAGAGTGTCTTGGTCAGTGTATGCGACTGCCCGATATTCAGCTTCCGTGGAGGATTTGGAGACGGTGGGCTGTTTCTTGGACCTCCAAGAAATAAGATTTCCACAAAAAAATACTGCATAACCAGTGGTAGATCTACAACTGTCCAGGCATCCTGCCCAATCAGCATCAGAATATGCAACTATGACCGATATACTCTGTCCAGAACGAAGCCATAGACCGTGAGTAGTAGTCCCCTGTAAATACCTGTATATTCTTTTGACAGCAGCAAGATGAGTAGTACGAGGTGCATGCATAAACCGAGAAACCAAATGTACGACATAAGTAATATCAGGACGAGTAATAGTCAAGTATTGTAAGGCACCTACCATACTACGGTACTCAGTACCATCGCTTAAAAGATCCCCATCTGTGAGAGACAGTGTAGTGCGAGAAGGGAGTGGCGTACGGAATGGTTTTACCGTATGAAGATGAAAGCGCTGCAAAAGATCAGTGACATATTTTTGTTGAGAGAGAAATAAACCTTTGAGGGTACGACTAGCTTGAATACCGAGAAAGTAATGTATGTCCCCCAAATCTTTCATAGCAAACTGACTGGATAAAATATGGATAAAGTAGCGAACAAGGGATGAGGAACTACCAGTGATAAGGATATCATCCACATATAACAATATGTAAATAGTGTGGGTCTGATATCAATAAGTAAACATGGAGGAGTCAGACTGACTTTGACTGAAGCCATAGGAGAGAAGAAAGCCACTGAATCTATGAAACCAGACACGTGGAGCTTGCTTGAGCCCATATTGTGCCTTGCGTAACCGACAGATGTGAGAGGGATAAGAGGGATGAACAAAGCCAGGTGGTTGACGCATGTATACTTCTTCAGTGAGATAGCCATGAAGGAAGGCATTTTTAACATCTAGCTGACGTACTGACCAACCCAGAGAGATAGCGACCGACAACACAAGACAAACTGTAGTGGGTTTGACCACTGGACTGAATGTTTTAGAGAAATCTACCCCAGCTTGTTGATTAAAACCCTGAGCTACTATCCTAGCCTTATGTCGCTCAATAGAACCATCAGAACGATATTTCGTCTTGTAAATCCACTTACACCCAACAATATTTTTGCTCTTGTCAAAAGGTACTAAATCCCATGTTTGATTAGCAATGAGAGCGTTAAATTCTTCTGCCATAGCAGCCCGCCATATTATATTTTTATTAGCTTGGGAAAAACAGGTGGGATCATTAGACACGGCTAAAGCGTTTAAAGTAAAAATATGTTTAGGTTTAAAAATACCATCTTTAGCGCGTGTTTGCATTGGATGCACATTAGGAGCCACAGAAGCGTGAATAGGTGGCGGAGATGGAGATAGGGTGGGAGGGTGTGCGCCGTGGAGAGAGTGTGGTCGGTGAGTGTGTAGGGCTAGGCCGAGAAGTGGTAACATCTGGGGAGATAGGATGGGACGTCTGTATTATGGAGAGGGGTGAGTGTGGTGTAGAGGGAGAGGAGGTGTTGGTCGGCTGCAGCTGGGAAGTTACTGGAGGGGAGTTGGGTTGGCAGATAGGTGGCGCTTGGGAAGCATTGGGGAGAGGGAGTGTCCAAGGAGGAAGAACTGGATGCCGAGACTCAGGGGTAGAGCTTTTAAGGAGGTGTGGGTATGGAAAGCTGGATTCAAGAAAAATGACATCTCGGCTGACATAGACTCGACCTGTGCAGGGATCAAGACAACGATAGCCTTTATATCCCGGAGCATAGCCCAGAAAAACACACGAAGTGGATCGCGGGGACAATTTATTTGAAGAATTAGCAATAATGTTTGGAAAACAAGCACAACCAAAAACACGTAAAAATTGATAATAAGGACTTTTGTGAAAAAGTATCTCAAACGGAGACTGACCACGTAAATTTGGAGTAGGCAAACGGTTAACTATAAACACAACAATATAAAGAGCATCTACCCAAAAATGAGAGAGGAGATTAGCATCGATAAGCATAGTGCGAGATAGTTCCAAAAGGTGTCTATGTTTTCGTTCAGCCACTCCATTTTGTGCGGGAGTATCCGGGCAAGATTTTCGAAAAAGAATGCCACATTTAAGAAAATGTTTGTGAAAAGCAGAATTAACAAATTCACCTCCACCGTCACTTTGAAAACACTTAATTTTGCGGTCAAATAATTTTTCTACAAGAGTTTGAAAATTGCAGAAGTGACTAAAAACCTCAGATTTCTTACGCATTGGATAAATCCAAGTATAACGAGAAAAATCATCAATAAAAGAAACATAATATTTAAAACCTAAATTAGATAACACAGGAGATTGCCAAACATCAGAGTGAATTAACTGAAGAGGAGCAGTAAAATCATGTATAACATCTTGTAAAGGAAGACGATGGGATTTGCCCAGTTTACAGGAAACACAATCATGAGAAAAAATGCTAGTACTAGTAATTAAATTATTCTTCCTAAGAGACATTAAAATACGATCCCCACAATGACCAAGACGTTTGTGCCAGACTGGGCCATGAACGAGTGAAGTCTTTAATGCAAAAGATGAGGGTGGCTGATAAGCTGCTCTAAAAAGATAGATGGAGTCTCTATTGGAGGCTTGGAGAAGTGTGGCTCCCGTTTGATTGTCCTTAACAAAAAAAAGAATTTTTATTAAAAATCACAGAACAATCATTATCCGCACATAAACGCTGAATAGACAATAAATTATATTTAATGTGCGGAACATGATAGACTGATTTTAATAATAAGGGGCGAGTGGCAGTGGTTAGGCTCACATTACCAATATTAGAAACAGGAAGATTAGTACCATTTGCAACTTGAACAGAAAATGGTCCAGTGTAGGTAGATTTACTAGAGAAAATACCTTCATGTGGAGTCATGTGACCGGAGGCCCCAGAGTCTGGGTACCACACAGAGGCATTGTTTTCACCTGTAGGTATAGCCGCCAATGCTGGGGTAGCATGAGCAAATCGAGAACGAGCTAGAGCTGAATGACCTGGCGAAAAACAAAGTTGACAAACAACTGGTGGAGGAGGGGACTGATAATTGTTCTCATTAGACGGGAATCCTGAAAAAAAGTAGGCCAAAAGTGAAATAAAAAGAAAAACAAACTAACCCGCATGGGTAGCTCAGTTGGTCGAGTGGTGGGAGATTTGGATCAATGGACCAAGATTCGAATCTCCGCAACGATCGGATAGAGGTCACAGAACCTGAAATAAGTCTGGGCCACAGGTGTATGGGCCTACTGCCATTCTGGTGACTGAGTCACCGTGACTAACCTCCCACCATCCTGTCGGGTCGGGATGGGGAGCTCCTGAGATGGGAGATTCCACCTTTTTTGGATCAATTGGATCAAAGAAGAAAAACAAACTAAGATAGAAAACGTGTCTTACATGACAAATTTGTGTGATGAAAATGGCTACCATGTATGGAGACCCAATACATATGCGTGAAATAATTATTGGAAATCAATCAAGGTCAATTATACTTCCTTCCCAATTTAAACTTAAAATTAGGCATGGATTCGGGCCGGGTCGGGCTCGGGCCTAGGCCCAGTCGGGTCGCCGGTTTATGAATGGTGGGCCCGGGACCGGCCCCAAGTATAGGCGGTCCCGGTTCGGGCCGGGCCACCCGCCCGAGTCACGGGTCGGTCCATCCGCCGGGCCGGGCCGGTTAAATCCATTTTTTTATAATTTATACTTTATAGTTTTATACAAGTATTAAAAACAAACTTCAAGTGCATTTATTTGAAATGAAATAGGAACTACATTTGACAATTGAGAAAAAAAATACAATATGAAGTACATTTTGTAATCAATCGGAACTTCCCGGACCTCCCGGTCCTTTGGCGTTGTCACATGACTTAATATGTTTCCTTGTCATCCCCTATCCGCGTGAAACTCTCATGCTACACTTTTTTCCGCACCATTTGCAAGTTGTGTACCACATCCCGGTCCTCGGGTCCTTCTGCGTATCAAAATTATACCGTATAACAGCATATTGACTCTCCATCTTAAAAATGGTAGATATAATAATTCTACAAATACTAGAATAGATGGAGATGAAGATGGACAATGGAGATTGGAGATTGGAGAAGATGTGTATAAAAATGTTAGAAAATAGGAGTATTTATAGAA